ACGTCTTCGTGAATTTTTACCAAGGTAAACAGCTGGAAGATCACATTTTTTCCAAATCCTGTAGGCAAGATTTCTCGTTTAGAATTACCAACAACAGCTTCCTTCTGTTCAGCTTTTAAAGAAGAGCTAGATCTTCAAAAGTTCGAGCTTCTCCGCGACTATCCCGTCGTCCGCCATTGTTGTATTTATGCGTAGTTTGTGCTCCCGCCAAACTTGCTCATTAACCTGTCAATGATCTGTCATCAGCTGCGAATTGACCAATCAGCTGCTCCGTTGCTGGGCTAACGGAGGGTTTGAAACTGTGAAAAGAGTCCGCAGTCCGGCTTTTCTCGTCTCGCCCCTATTAGTCAGGTCGCTTAGCGTAAATTTTTGGAGTTATCGTTACAGCGTTGATAAAAGCACCAAAATTTGCAGGATGATTCCTGAAAGACTACTGAAACATTTTATCCGTGGCTCCACTTTAATTTTTGATTGCAATATGCACAATTCGCTCAGCAATTTGATCATATGCAAACTCACTTGCGCCGCTACAGACTCCATCTTTATAGCTCGGTGCAATGTTGATGGGACTGGATAAAATATTGATCTGTTCTGTACGTAATGCTGCAGTTACTTAGTTCAGAAAAACTGAGGTGGTCTAGAACATTAAAAGTTATTTTACCGTTTTCGTTTAAATTGGATTTTAACCCTATTCAGACCGGGCTTTTTTGGTCTTTTCGGACCGGGGGGTGCCCCCCTCCCCTCCGTTTCTCCACGATGATTGAAGCTACGACAACGAAACTTGGAGGGTACATAGTACGTCCAACAATGTTCCTTTTGATGTATGAAACACGAGTCGATGACATCATATGACGTCATGACTTCCGAACAGCCGCCATCTTGGCTCCGCCATCTTGGATTTCTTGATTTGTCCAAAATGACAGAAAACCACCAAAAATGACTTCAAAGTAAACAAAACCAATAAAAGAATGCTAAAATAACCAAACAAGGTAAAAGTTATTGCCAGAAAGTTATTTTCTTCCTTAAAAAACATGAAAATTCCAAATTTGGAAAAATATGCCTGTCAAAATGTCATGTCATACCAAATTGTTCGCAGTTAAATGTTAGGTTAAGTCGAAAAGTTTTGCGGCTTTTACTTCGATATTAAAAACGTCTGAAACGTTATTACTGGCAATCTCCGGCGCGGCGGGAAGATCCCCCCCCCCCCCCCCCCCCCCCCCGTCTGAATAGGTTTAGGTGAAATTACATTTAGTACGGCAACATTTATATTGCAATAACGATGCACTTGTAGCTTGTGGCCGCACAACATGGAATTAGACTGGAGCCTTTATATACTAGAATAAAACCTCAGAAGCTTTGAAATGCCCTTTGGAAAATCCTTTTCTCACGAAGTTCAGTCTTTTCCACCTTCTTTGTCAGAGTTTGGCAAACTTTATTTGCCTGGCACAAACTGAACTGATGAAACGCATTGAACCGCTTCAGCAATCTACGCCTCCTGATTAATTCGACTGCATAGTACTGGATGGTGCTGTAGTCGTCCCCTGCCTACCAATTACTGGTATCACAACCGTCAACGAGTACGCAAAAGAGGTCTTTATCCCTCAGAGAAGGAGGAGAAAGAGCTGCAAGGCACTGCAAGTGAAGATTGAACTCCGTGTGGGACACATACAGTCCTGAAAGTTTAAAGAATTCTACTCGTGAAAAGAGAAGAAAGGGGATACGCAGAAAGGTGTCCGGAGAAACCAAGCTTCCACGAAACTGGATGGACTTTCTCGTGACTCATTGAACAAGAAAGAGCTGTTTGCCTTTTCTGACATCTAAAGAGGCAAACTTTGTCTTCCCACAAGGCAAGGCCGTTTACATCACAGCAGACGAATCGGTGGAAGCAGAATGTGCGCCCAGTCCCATGCCAAACTGCAATCATGAAGAAGTCGACACAAAGATTGTGCAGGTTCGCACTGTTGACACTGACTTTATAGTTGTCCTTATTGGTGTATTTCACAGTGTTACAGTCTCAGCCTTTAGCTGACATCTGGGTTGCTTTTGGCGTAGGCAAGAGCTACAGGCTATGTTGCATCAACGCTATCTGCAACAGCCTCTTGGAGCAAGCAAGTCTCAGGCACTGTCAATTTTGTACGCTTTGTCTGGGTGTGACACTTCGTCCGGTTTAAGAGGAAAATGGAGGAATTCGTTCTGGAAGGCTTGGCTGGCGTTTGAAGAGGTTACAGAAACACTCGGTAATGCGCCTATTTAGCTTCTCATCCGTTTGAGTCCCTTGATGGCGACTGTGAGCACTTCCGTAAGATCGAGCGGCTAATTGTCATTGTATATGACAAAGTGAGCACTTCACTTTCCATTAACCAAACAAGGCCGAGAACTCTTCTGTCTCACGAACGCCAAAAATAGAGAAGATGCCACCGACACAGAATGCTTTGCTGTAACACACCAGAAGGGCGGTGTACCAGGCTTCAATCTGGACTTGTACTACAAGTACTGAAGCACAGCAAGTGGTCCCTTCACCAGCGAAATTTGTTTGGGAGAAAGTGGCAAGTGCGTGGGTCCCGGTTTGGTTGACAGCTCAAGAGCTTTCTAAGGCCTGTCAAGAACTAATAAAGTATTCCTGTAAAGGCGACTGTTCCCGCTGCAAATGTGGCAAAGCCCAACTCAAGTGTTCACCACTTTTCAACTGCAAGTGCAATTTCTACAGCAGATCACGCAACAAGCTAGTGAAATGGTGTTAATGATACATGTTGAACGCTTAGATCTGGTGAATACATATTAACTTACTGCCTTTTGACAAGTTTATCTCAAGTACTTTAGCATGGGGGTACGTTTGCTGTGTGTGCAGTTACCATGGACACCATGAAAATTCAGTAAACAAACACTCTCAAATTTGGCAAAACGTGCAATTTTGGAAGCTTTTGAACAGATAGCATTCATAAACTGATCAGTGTAAAGACTTGCACAAACACAGGTTGATTTTATTTAACAGGTGAGGATAAATTCAGGTTATTTGAAATTTTAAACCTTAGAAGCGCCATTTTGAATTTATGCAAATGAGCTCAAAACGTTATTGTTTAATTCTGGATCAAATATAAAAAAATTTCGGATGGAGCCACGACTAAATTTGATTTAGATATAGAAAAGAGCCTGCATGCAAAAATTGGTGCTTTTATCAAACCAGTAACGATAATTACGGTAAGCGACCTAACTATATCCCTTCTCATTCATACCGCCATCTTTTGCGAACGCGCTCGAGGGATAAACACTCGACGGACCCAAAGAGAAGAGGGGGAAGGCAAGCAGTTTCGTCTGCAGCTTCTTGATGTCAGTGACCTATAGAGGCATACGTTTGGGTCAAACGAATCATGAATTTCATTTTAACATACTGTATAGAACAAAGGAAAAATATGTATGTATGTGTTCCGATACGGTTTTTTTGGGGGGACCATACCTGCTTTTTCAATCAGCTCTTCTCTTAGTCGGATCGATGTGAAATTTACACCGTTAATAATCTTGGAATAACATACTTTTTAATCAATACGTACTACATTTTGACCCTTCCATGTTGTAATACATCGTTCTATTTCTGTGTCTGATGACGTAGCTTTACAGAGATCCGTGTTGTGTATCACGGGAAAACTTAAAACCGAGCATCAACCTCTACACGGGCATCTGTAGAGGTACGTCATCATTATGGAATTTTCCGGGTCGTATCTCAGACGTCTCTCGAATAGAGAAATAATACTTCTTTCTCTGGCCACAAGAGTCAGTTGAATTATTCTATTTTTATCTTGCAGTGGAATTTGAATAGGAAGTTCCTGTAGCTTCATGTTGCTGCAACTGACGAGAAAATAGCTTCATCTCATCTCTACTTTGATCTAACAAATAAATACTGCAGAATTTAATAAAGATACTATTACTAGTCTCGCCCTGACTGTTTGAAAGTTGTTGCCTAGGGAAACTATCGGCCAATCACAGTTAATCCTGGTTCCACTTGCATGAGAAATGACGTCATTCTAGTGCTTTGTATTCCCATAAGGCACGCTAAAATTTTAAAATGTTTTGCACGGCTCGCGCGTGCAGAATAACGTCATTTTTGTGCTTTGCATTCTGTCAAAGCCCTCAATAACCTAATCTAAGCTAAATCGATGTTTGCCCCAAATGCTTAATCGACCCCAAAAGTGATAAAACCTTCTTTAACATGGCATTAAGGCTTAATCCGGCTTCAACTAATTGAACATCCATGGAGGCTAAAATGAGCTCAAATACCCCTTCAGATCGTCGAGAAAACCCGAGCGGGGACTTTTTGGCCAACTTCTTCCGTTTCTCGCTCGACGATCTGAGAATAAGTTAAAAACTGCTCGTTAGTTTCATTAGCTTGGAATTTACGTGGCAATCAAGTATACTCCTACCTATTTACCTTTAGCCATTCCCGGGCTAGGGAGTATCGCATGGTTCTCAAACCCTGAGGACAATATTGCACGCGAAAATATAATGTTACAAAGCTTTCCCCAATTCGCTACGACGGTTAATTTACCTTTATCAACTTCGAGTTGATAACTAACTAAAAGATAATTTTACATACTCTTTCAGATCTGACATGAGAAATCTGTACCCTATTTAGCTCAATTTCAGCCCCCTAAAATGGTCAGAGAAAGGGGTCTCCTTTGCGATGTTGATCTTGCGCATTTCAGTCACAGCATCGTCCGCCACGGAGAATCTTCATAGTGTTCTTTTACGGACATTTTTTAGCCTTCTTAAAGGAGCTATGTCACGGATGGCGCATCTTGTAATATTTTGTCGTTCGTAATCCTCCTCAATCTTCCCGAATATTAACCATCCTTGTTGCTTTTGTGTACATTTCAAGGTGATTCTGAACGTCACAAAAACTTTACTTCTCAGAAATATCTTATATTGCACAGCGCTTACTGTGGAACAGGTGAGAGAGCTTCAATAGTATGCTGAATTTAGTGATCAGGTCTTGAAATCTTGTTGGAGACGCGTGGCCAAATCGTTAGCGCGTTGGACTCCAGATCGAGCGGTCCGGGTTCGAGCCCTGGTCTGGGTCACTGTGTTGTGTGGGCAAGGCACTTTACTCTCACAGTGCTTCTCTCCACCCAGGAGTATAAATGGGTACCGGCGACAAAATGCTGGGGGGTAACCTGCGATGGACTTGCATCCCATCCAGAGGGAGTCTGCTTCATGCTAAGGAAACCGGGATAAGCTCCGGCAGTGTGGGCCAGTTTGGCCAGAGTGCGGCTTTACCTTTTTTTTATTACCTCCTGATTAATCTAGAGTAGTTCACAAGATCACTCCAAAACAAACGTTTATAAGAGAAAACGTTTATTGTTGGGGTAATTCTATTCTAGCAGACAGCTAGTTTTGTCAATTTCGAAAGTTTGTTTGGACTCCATTTAGGGTTCCTTCTCATCATGCAAGTTTATCTCTATCGTGAACTCGATTTCGCTCTCAAATCTAACACACGGCCAGTTATCAGGCTGCAGAAGGTATACAACATTCCCCTTATACCTGACTTCAGGTTAAATTATATCTGATTACCCAATACCTACTAGTTTATTCTTCAGATAATCTGAAATCCGGTTAGCAGCAAATTTGATCAATATAATTTTGCCGAGCTAAAAGGAGATTAAGAGATTAAAACCCACGCATTAAAATATATTTTTAATTAGCGATCGGATCTCCGACATTGCTCAATTCTCTCTAATTGTGAAATGACGGTTTCTGTATTGCATTATTTGCTATCGGCAGAATGCCAATATTCCAACAAAGTTTAGATTTTAATCATGATGCTCAAGCATGATTTTTAATCGATCTTTCAACTGACTTCAGTGGATCTGTTAGGATATTTTGACTCGAGATTTTTGTGCCGTCATTTAAAGCCTTAGTAACTACACAACGATTAATTAGCGATGCCAAGATTGTAATTAAAGTTGGTGAATAGGCACTCTTTTTGTGTTTACAAATTAGCTAAAATACCGGACTAAGTCAACAATGGCCGCAAAACAATACAACAACATTTAGGTCTCATTAGCGACTAAACTTCTGCTCGGCCCATTAAAATAATCACCAGTTCTGTACAACTGAAGTTTAATTGAATTCTCTTCACGTTGAGTAGAGGTGGTCGAGCATTTACAACATAGTTGAAATCCGTTGAGTCCTTGTCTACAATAGCTTATATATATGAGAAAGCAGTTTGTCATTGCGGAAACCTTAATCCCGTTACTCTACGGTATAAGCTAAAGGGTGTCCTGGAAGCAAATATAACAACATATTCGTGTGACTAACATTCAGTTGCAAGTTGTCCGCTAAAATGATGGAGAAAGAGGCGTCCATTCCTCGCGTTTGGAAGTCAAGAACAGCTCAATACAGACAGCAAATGCTTATATCAGAGCATCGACGTCATCGTCACAGTCTGGAAGGGACAACCAAGAGTTTGCTCAAACAGTCCATCAATGATAATTTAGTCTATGGCACTCGTTCGCAATGCGGACCTTTGTGTTTGAAGCAGGTTATCTGTGAACTACAGCAAGACTTCATTTTAACGCACAAACTTCCACTGCGAATATCCGAGACTGAAAATCATGCAAGTTTATACTCCAGAAGTTTGCCAAACATTTCTGATTTACGCTTAACAGAAGTAGCACTTCAGAATGCTACTGCATACAAACAAAACGGTAAATTGTTAAATCAATGCAATTCATCTTCGTCACTGGAAAGCATCTTGAAAGAAAAAATAAATTATTCGCGAAGGAAATGGAAACATTACACGGAGCCGGGGAAGTACAACCACATGTGGCAAACGTTAGGCAGAGATGTCCAGGATCGTCAGGAAAATAGAAAGGGAGACAAGACGCCAGGCAATGTAACTGCGCATCGTAACGTGCGAGGGAAGGACCAATTGACAAAAACAAAACTTAATAATAACTCGAAGGAGAATCTATCCACCCATCTCTCCAAACAAGGAAAAAACTTGAACCCAGGCTCGCGATATCGCTCACCGCGGCAAGTGTTACCCAGAATTCTGTTTACCTGACTGAACTCTGATACAAGCGTGTTACGAATCATGGGAAACAGAAATGTCGCTTGACGAATAGTGGAAAAGAAAACCGCGAGTAGATTACAAGGTCATCAATAGCTTAAACAGTGTTACCAGTTGACGTCTAAGGTCTTTCTTGGAAACATCTGGCGAACATCGTTTCGATATCAGGGACGTCATACACGATTTATCTGACTCGTTGAAGTTCAGCTGCCCATGCAACCATGAAAAGGAAACAAGGCAAACCACACTCGCGTGCCACGGAAACGAAAAATGCCGACAACATTTACTCATAACACATACCTTTCAGTTAGCGGATAATTAGTTATTGTAGATATGATAATTAGTTACTGTATATATGATAACTATAGATGTTGTTTATATCTGTCCTCTTTTATCAGTCAAATCGATAAGAAAAAATAAATTTCGATTAACACCCTGGCTTTACTTCAATATCAAGGACGCACTTCAGTTTTTCATACTCTGTCAAACTCTTCAGTGAACAAAAGCAATAAACTTACTGTAATCTAAACCGCTTCTGGCGATGCACAAAAAAAAACCAATGATGCCAAATAAGATGACCATTTATTTTTAGCCATTCCGATCGTATATTTTGCGTTGCAGGAGATATGAACTTGCTGAAATGTATCCCATTATAAGATGATAAGTACACGTAATTTGATCATTCTGAGGCTACCAGAATAATTATGATAGATTGTAAGGCTTCTTTCACGTACAGTGGCTGCCAGAGTATTATACAAAATACGTAAAAGGAAATACCGGTATAGATCGGAGGCAAATATCACATTAGTTTCATGTCACAGTGACGTCATTAGTAAGTTTAAGTTTACCAAACTTTGTACAATGACATTAAATTTATCACATGCACGTTTGTGTCGTAAGGAAGGTTGGCAACTTCAAAGGATTCTGATATTTTATTTAAAATAATAAATGACTTGTTCTAATGTTAATACTAATACACTATAAAGTTGTGAACATACATCTGCCGAGTATGGATCGGCTGGTCGATTATTGCTAACTGTTAAAAGCTGAGTGTTGGCACTAAATATTAAAAATAGCCTGTTATATACGTCTCAGTCAATTGAAGAATTCTCTCTGCATCCGGCCTAATCTCACTGCATGGGGCTAATTAATCCTCTTACAGCCCTTCGTAAGTACTAACACTAGAAAGTTCTACGGCTCCTGAAAACTGTCCAAAAGTGTTCAATGTTTTAACCCAGTGATCATATAGCCGCCTACGTACGAGTTTATAAAAAAATTATTTCGTTATAAATGTTTGAATCGAATATTTCTTGAGTTATTGCACTTGCTAGTCACATGAAAGAGAAGCACTTTTTAACCATATCAGTCTTGTCTGTTTTGTTGGCGAGGCAACAGCCTTTCACTGTGAGAGCCAATTGGAGTCACTCAATCAGCCACTTTGGAGACTCGTGCCATTTGCTGTATTTCTAAAAAAAATATAGAAATATATACGAATGTATATGTTACGTTCATACGGAGTCGTTTAATAAGACAAACTACAACAGCAACAGTATAAAATGTTAACAAAGCACATACTTACCACTGGAAATCTTGAATGATTCCTTCCCGTCTTTGTATAAGTTTTCGGGCTTTTAGTGACAGGTCGCCTCCGACCTCGTTTTTCTGTAGGGCTACGACCAATGCTCATATGAGTTAGAATAGTTATTTTCCCGTTACTTTCCTCGACAATGACTGACAATAAGATGACTGCAATGACCAGAAAAGTAGTCTTCTTCATATTGTTTCTCCAAAAAACTGCCTTGTCTGCAAATGATAGTCCGAGATGCGCCCTCGAATCGTTCTTGTGTGGAAGTGAGGTTACTGCCAAGCAGGATATGAATATATCACAATGTTCCTTGAAGATTAATACGTGCGGTTTCCTCAGCTATCAATAAACTGTCACTCGGGCTTTCGCGACAGGGCATGGAACTATTTTTTTCATTTGTTTTTACCATGTACAAATTCCTTTTATAACCCTTAGGAGGAAACCTGGACATCAATAACTTCATTGTCTATTTTCTTTGTAGTACCCGCGACAGTCCGGGAGCAGAAATTCCTGCTACGAGCAAAATGTTCAACATTTTAATTCCACTCTGTCAAGTTAGATGATAATTCCGTCTGGCACGGTGACATTGGCTGGTAGTATAATTGGTATATTTTGCGGTTGGATTTACAAACTTTTATTATATGTACGCGAAATCGCATTATAAGTTATAAACTGTTTACGTTCAGTATTAGCCGTCCTAACAATAAACAACATCGACTTTCGCCCTATAATATCAATGCATTGTCAAGCAGTTAGGCAACGCTAAGAGATATTGTCTTGATGTGATGTGATGTCAATTTTTTTTCAAAACTCAATAAAATTCAAAGTTTTTGTTATTCTTTATTTTTTTTTATTTTATTTGTCCATTATATTTCATTTACATAAAATGAGGTATATCTGCTAGATAACATATAATAGCAGGAGATCTTAGCAAGCTCTACCGAGCTTTTCTAAGAATATACCCATTTTTCAGTAAACTAATTTAAATACAGCAGATGAATGTAATTTCTTAATCTAACTCTAACACGGGTTTTGTTGTCTTAGGGCCTCCACAGACTAGGCCAATTGTTATCGATAACTATTTAGTTGTCGATCATAAAAAGTTGTCAAAAAAAGCCAGTGTGTGAAGCTAGTTGTCGATAACTAAGGCCCTTAGTTAGCGATAACTAGCTTCACACACTGGCTTTTTTGTTATCGACAACTTTTTTATGATCGACAACTAAATAGTTATCGACAACTATCTCTCTAGTCTGTGGAGGTCCTTAGAATTAATTATAATCTAAGAATACATTTGATTTTGCACATAAATTTTTGTTGCTTTTTTAAAAGAATTATATGATTTTGATATTTTTCAGATCCTTCGGTAACTTATTCGAAAGTAATATATGGCATGGAGAATTTTACCTGCGATGTACTAGTTAGCA